AAGAAATTAACAAAGGAGATAATAGCCAGTAAAAAGGGAAAAAAGGAAGCAGAAAAGGAAAAGAGAAAGAAACAAGGAAGAGAGAAGATCAGGAAATTCAGAAGAAATAGCAGGAGGTAAGAAATAAAATGACAAGAGAAGAGAAGCAGGAAAGATGATCAGCTATAAGAGTAAGGTAAAGTCATGAAAAGAAAGAAGAAAGGAAGTACAAAAGGCGATAGAGAGAGAGCAAAACAAGAGAAAGAGAACATAACAAAAAATGAGAAGATAACCAGAAAGAAGCACAAAAGAGAACGATACTTAAGAGCAGAAAAGAAAAAAGGAACAAACTAATGAACAAAACAAATGGGAAGAACACAGCAAGCGCCGAGAAAAGGAAAAAAGAAACAAGAACACGAAAAATCAGTGGTGAGGAGAGCGATTACAGAATAAGAAGAGAAAGGATAGAGAAAAGAACAATAAAGAGCAGAAAGAGAAACAAAAAACGTACGGGACAAAAAAGAGAGAAAAAGCAGAGTACAACAAAAGGAAGAAACAGTAAGACAAGCAAGAGCAACTAACAAGAGAATCTAGTAATAGAAAGGGAAATGAAGACAAAGATAAGAGGTACAGAGATGAAGGTAAAACGGAAGAAGATAAGAAAAGAGTAAGAAAAAAATAAGAGAAGGAAGAAGAATCGAGAATCAGGAGAAACGCAGGAGAAAGAAGAGGAGAAGAAAACAGGGCAATGTGGAAAAATAAAAGAAAAGCTAAGAGACAAGAATAGGCAGGAGCAAAAGGGAATTCATGAAAAAGAGAAATACTGAAGAATAATAAGTAATGAGCAAGCAAAAATAATGGACATACGAGAGTGAAACGAGAAGAAAGGATAAGTACGGAAGAACGAAATATGTAAGAAGGGACAAAGCAATTAAGAAATAGGAAAGATTAAGAAGAAATGTCACACGAAAAGTATAGTAAGGCAAGTGAGAAGTGCAGAGGCAAAAGACGAGTCGGCAGGAGAGAAGTAAAAAGTAGAAGAAAGTAAGAGAAATAGACAGGAAGAGAAGCGAAGCAGGGAAAGAGAGAACAGAAGGGCAAGCAAAAGGAGAATGAGAAGAGACTAGTAAGAAGGAAGAATAACTGAAGTAACAAAAAAATAAAGGGAAAGAGAACAGAAAGAAACAAGTGAGAAAGAAACAAGCATGAAGACAGGAAGGAGAGAGAAAAGAAAAAAGTAAGGAGAGGGAAAGAAGAAGTAAAGTAACAGAAGAAAGAAAGTACAGAAATGGAGAGAAGTAGAGGTAGCAAGAAAGAGACCATAGCAAAAAAGTGAGGAAGATGAAGCATAGAAACATGAAACGAAACATAGTTAAGAAAAACGGAAGGAAAAAAAGGAAAAAAAAAGGAGGAAATTAAAGGAAAAAACAGAAGAAAGCAACAAAGGTCAGAGAGAGATAGATGAGAAGCAAGCAAAAAAAATGGTAAAGAAAAAGAGACATAAGAGAGAGAACCAATGATAAAGACAAGAACAAGGCAGGAGTGTGAAGCAGAAAGTCAGAAGGACAGCAAAAGCAAACGAGATAAGAAGAAGAAACGAGCGAAGGAATAATGAAAGATAGAAAAAGGAAAAAAAAACCGGCAACAAAGACAAGATATGCACAACGCGAAGGCAACAATGAGAAGTAAGACAAAAGAAACTGAAAGGTAAGAGAAAACGACAAAGTAAGAAGCAGATAGAGGAAAGAAGAAGACAAGACATGGGAGGAAGAAAACAGAAAAAATCATGATAAAAAATAGAAAGAAGAGTTGGGAGCAGGAAAAATGTAACAATCAAGAACCAGAAGATTAAGAGAATAGAAATCCTGGAAGTAGTAAAAAAGAAATCAAGAAAGAAGGAGAAAGGAGGGAAGAATATAGTAAGAAAGAAGCCATGACGGCGGAAATAAAGAAAAAAGGAGTGGAAAGCAGTAAAGAAAGGAATAAGGTAACAGGAACAGAGAAAAAAGAAAAGAAAAACAAGGTCAAGAACAGGAAACAACAAAGAGGAGAAAGAAAAACAAAATGATAGTAAGAAAGAAGATAGAAATACAAAAAAGGAAGCAAAAAGTACTATAGAAACATAGACACAACCAGAATGAAAAGCAATACGGAAACGAAGAAAACGACAGGAAAACAGCAACAATTAGCAAAGCTGCACAAGACTAGAGAGCAGGAAGAGATGAAGAAAGGAAACGAAGGAAACTAAGGAAGAAGGAATAGAAGTCATAATAAATAGAGTAATTAGGACAATAAAAATAGTAAACACGAGAAGAGGAAGATAGAAAAGGTAAGAGAAAAGAATTAAAAGAGAAAGCAGGAAAGCAAAAAAACGAAGCAGAAAGAGGAGAGAACGACAAGGAGAAATAGGGAAACAGCAGGCAACAAAAAAAGAAGGACAAGGAGGGAGAAGAAGAAAGAGAAATGCTAAGATAACAGAACGATAAGAACGAGAGCAAGGAAGAATAAAATGGAAAAGCAGAATACGGCAAAAAAGAAAAGGCAAGAGAGAAATATAGGAAGGAATAAGGAGGAAGGGAAAATAGATATCTCAGAACAGCAAGGAAGATAAAAGAAATAGGAAAAGTAAGACAAAGAGCAAGAAAAGGGGAAATAAAGTTAGAAAGGTACAATAAATGAAGACAAAGCGGGAAAGGAAGAGCAATATGAAAAAGGTGGGAATACAGCAAGAAAAATAGACAAAAGACACAAGAGATAGGAAAGAAAACACAACAGGTGAAAGAGACAGACGGCAGAAGGAAATAGTAAGATTGGAAGAAGTAACAGCAAGAGGAAAAAACGAAACATAAGTAAGAACACAGAAGAAAGCAAAGGAAAAAGGAGAAGCGACATAGGAAGTAAGGAGAGGAACTCTGGAACAAAAGTAATAACAGCAATAAGCAGCAAGAACGAGGAACAGGATGCAGGACAAAAGAGAGCAATGCAAGGGAGATAGGGAGATAGAGAAACAGTAAATAAGTTGAGGTCAAAGAACATACAGACGTAAGAAATGAATTATGAAAGACGGGAAAAAAAGACAAAGAAATTAACAAAGGAGATAATAGCCAGTAAAAAGGGAAAAAAGGAAGCAGAAAAGGAAAAGAGAAAGAAACAAGG